TGTCTTAACCCTCGACTGCATTTGTGTGTTACCCCATTAGATGTCTTTTTATTTGCTTTGCCGCTGCTGTGTTCCAAAAATCTCAGCAATTAAAAGAGCACTCCACTGATGTAGCATGTGCTGAACTCACAATAGACGTTTTCAAAAGAAGAAGAAAAAAAAAAAAAAAAAGGATTAAAAATTGACACAGCAGAGTGAGACACATTGTCTTTTGATTTCCACACATTCTCTGGCGCCCACAACTCGACTGCCAGCAGTTTGCTTGGAGATTCAGGTGTTGTTATGCCAGTAGCGGCTTATGTCTCCTTAGCCGCTACTGTCATAGCACAACACACGCTCTGCAGGACCGGGCTACAGAGGTCTCACCACCCCCATATTTTTTTCTCTTTCAAACTTGGAGTCTTTAGCCCCAACTGAGGCTGACTCAAGTGACATCACTTATGTAAAAATGACATCACTTGTGTCTAAGATTATCTGCCACTGCCGTTTGTAAAATTGGCATGTAACTGTCGCCATTGAAAATATGGCTTGCTGTTATTGGATAACCTGTTTTATCACAGACAAAAACAGTAGGAAATTGACCACAAACTAATTTCTAAAAAAAAAAAACAAGTTGCTGCTTAAAAAATTGCACTATTTGTAAATGACCTTTAATTTGGTGAGTACATTGTATCAAGACTGAAAGAGACAGTGGCAACAATGGCCAAAGCTTTTAAATAATAAAACTTTGTTGTAATACAATTGTCCTTTAAAGGTATTTGATCTTCTATAGCACAGCACGCCAAATCACATCTGAGTAAAAACAATAAAGAAATGAAAAAGCACAAATGTAATCCCCATTAAAAACATACAAATATCCAATCCCACAAGCATCAATGCTCCATATCCATCAAGATGTTATTTCACTGTCTCTGTTAACAGGCACTGCCGACATCTATTAAGTGTGTGAATGTGTGAGTGTTTAAAAAAAAATCTGAGAATGAATGACACAGAAAATAACAGTAACAGCAACAACTCTGCAGAAGCATCTTCATTCTAGCTGTGTGTGTGTGTGTGTGTGTGTGTGTGTGTGTGTGTGTGTGTGTGCGTGCGTGCGTGTCGTGTGTGTGTGTGTGTGTGTTGTTTTACTCCACTCATGGGGTCTGAACAGCAGGAGCCCATAATACTTGTGGGGCCTATGGTGCTTTGTAGGGACCAAAATGCTGCGGACCCACAGGTTGAAATGGCTGTTTGAGGGTTCTGACTTGGTTTTAGGTTTTCATTCTTGACTGACGGTTAAGGTTAGGGTAAGGGGCTAGGGAATGCATTATGTCAATGATGAGTCCTCACAAGTAAGGGGAGTGTGTGTGTGTGTGGGTGGGTGTGTGTGTGTGTTTCAAATGTGCACAGTTCAATGAAGCATGGTGGCTAGCACTCTTAATGTGAGACAAGAAAATGTTTCTTGATAATCCAGCGGCACCTAACATGCATAATAAACCTTGTGTTTCTTACACAGACTAGCTGCAACCTGAGATACAACTGTTGCACGTAGATCGATATTCACTGTACCACAGAAGTTTACAAGTATTTCTAAGCATGGATGTGTGCATACTTTTATTTATCTCTTATTGGATTCCTTTGGTCTAAATGCAGAGAGGAGCTGATGGAACAGTTGAAGAAAATGCTTCACTCCAGCAGACAGACTAAACATTCGAGAGAGAAAAGGTCACAAACAAAACAAGCTCCTCTGCAAGAGTTTGCAGCGCTCCCGGGGGAGCTGAAAGGATTTTCTGTTGGTGCCAAAATATTGCAAACCCATTGGCTGCGTCTGGTACCATTTCACCATGGTGCTGCGACTGGTCTTCGAGGTTCCTAATACGTGACTGGAAATGTGTTTGTGAGTGTGTGTGCAAGTAAATTCTGTTTACTGGCGTTCAGATTAAGATTGTGAGCGACAAAAAAAAAAAAAAAAAAAAAAATAGAAACCACCCGCTAATAAGCCATTATTGAGAAAACATGGCCTGGTTTCCACGCAGCCTTCTCGAATAACGAGTCAGCCAGATTGACATTTATATGTCTTTCTGTGTTTTATGAATCTAATAATGTTGTGTTTGTTGTTGTGTCTGCGCTAACCTCTCCAGTCCCTGGAAGTGCAGAGACTTCCAAATCAATCTCTGGTTCCATCTGGGAGTGACTCTAGGATGCGGCCACGTCACGCCAGCCCTGCCTCCTCTGCTGTAGCTCGACAACCACCAAACGCTGGAGAGAGAGAGAGACGTAGAGACGAGCAGAGAGCGAAGAACACAACACACCGAGAGATGAACATATTAATTGCTTGCTAACACACAGACACACACAGACACATGTAGACATGCTTGTACTTCTGTCTTTGTGAGGACCCTTGTTCACATAATGCAAAACTAAATGCCCCTAACTCTAACCCTCAATCTGACTCTAGTCCTAACCCTAAAACCACGTCTTGAACCTCAAACAGCCCTTTGAAGATGTGAGGATCAGATAAAGTGTCCTCACTCCATAAGTCTTTAAATCGAAAAGTACAATACACAAACACACACACACACACACATGGACACACAGACACGCACACACAGCATTTCCCCTCCACCCCCCATCCCCATCCTCTGTCCCATTAGGCCTGGTGTCTTTGTGTTTGCACACATCGTCACTTCTTATTTCTGATCTCCCCCTTCTCGCTTCCTGTCGTCTCTTACATCTCATTATCTCGGCGTGGTCTGTAACCTAATTCCACTGACAGCTCGGCTCGCTGGAGAGGAACCGACAGGCGCTGCCTGGCCCCGCTGAAATTACCTCGAAATAACATTTCCCTTCGTGCCTTCCCTTTAGCTGATATTTCAATTAGGAGGTCAACAGGAGCAGGGTGGCGCTTAGTGGGATGGACGGAAGCAGAGAGGAATCAAAAGGGAGCGGAAATGACAAGGAGCAGAAGCACACAAAGGGAGCGGGCGGATGTCGAGCAGAAGGAAAAGATGGAGAGATAAGACAGTGAAGAGAGGACAGAAGATGGAGAAACTGACAGGAGGAATTAGATTACCACAGTTGATAGATAGATGGGAGACAAGTTGTTGTTTCTGTCCATCCTTTCCCTCATTAATGTGTTTTCTCTTCATCTGGCCTCGGGGAACGCACTATAGGAAAATGAGATATCATGCTATCACTGCTAATGTAGTATACAAGGTTTGAACTAATAAGGAGTGAAAGAGGTTGAGAGTTCAGCACACAACAGCTACAGACTATAATACAGTAGACTCCCATTGAGATACTGCATGTAGACCTCATCAATTAACTGCTTATATCAGTACGATCAGCTGATCTGAGCTCTTCTGTGCAGAATATAGTAATGTTGCCAAAATCTTCTTATCGAGTCACTGACAGCCTACCTTATTCTTTCTGTTTACAGGTATTGACACTCATTAAAAAAAAATCTTGAAATAAGTTGATTTCTTTTACAAATAGGTTGAAATATTCTCACTGGAATGGCAGATTTATTTTAAGAATATAAAGTTTTTGGACTCAATTCTAGACTGAAATTAGATAAGTTAGATAAGATGCAAGTTTGTAGTGTATATACATATAAATGGATCCTTACGTAACGTTATGCTTAATCTCGAAATGTTTTCCTTATTTCTAGATTTGTGTCATGGATTCAAGAAACCACAACAAATGCAGTGTGTTTGCTCCTTCTCTCTCTTTTATATCTTTGTAAACTGAACTTTTGGTCATTTAGAGATGCCACTGTGGACTCTGGGAAATTGTAAAAGGCATTTTACCCCTTTTTAAACATTTCATAGTCCAAACAAATTATAGTTTTATTGGGAAAAAATTCCTTTGACTGAGCTTAGGTTTGTGGTTGGACAGCACACAGTGAAACTTCTCTCTTTGCCACTTTGTGTGACTTGGAAGGAGAACGCTGTGTGTTTATGACAGTCCTACTGAAGCTGTCCGTTTACCTTCCTGTCAGAGTGAAACCTAACACTGCACCAAGATGCCCACTAGTTGGCTGTGATGATGTGTGGGGATAGAAATATGGAAAAACTTGCTGACGACCTCTGTCAGCTGAAGGCAGCTGTGATTTTTGTTTTTGTCTCACATTCATGTGTGTGTGTGTGTGTGTGCGTGTGCGTGTGTGTGTGTGTGGGGGGGGTGTTAAGTATGTAAACGGTAAATGTATTAACGGCTCTCTGCTCCTTAAAAGTCAACATGAGATTTATGTAGATGGGATTTATTGCAGGTGCTCTGCAGGTTTACCTTTTTAAATTGGTAACTCAAAGTACATTCTGTTGTCCCTGCTCAAATGTAAAAAAAAAAAAAAAAGAAAGAAAAGAAGACCCTCAAAATAGAACAAGACAAGGTCAAGCCCTAGTATTTGGCTGGACCACTTCCCAATAAAGCTGCTGTTCTCATTTACATGTTTTTCTGTTGCTGTTGTCAGACAACGGAACAAGTATGAAATAGTGACTGAAATTTAACCACCATATGTTAACCAGCAGTTATTTCCAAGCCACTTCCAAGCTGCTGCTAGTCTATAACCGCAACGTTGCCTGACAAAACCACCAGCTACACTGTGATTTTGGCTCTATTTACTTACCAACCATGTACTTTACCAACAGTGTAACTTCATCACTCAGTCAGTCAGCGACATTCACGTTTATAGGGCTGGCCCCACTGTTGCGGTTCAGCCAATAAAATGTCAGTTTTTGGACCTTGCAAACAAATTTAAAACAGTGTTGTTTTCATTAAACAGTAACTAACTGGGTACACTTACAAAGCCTTTTATCACCGCACAACTTGATCTACTGGCTTCATACTTGACTTACAGAAGCTGTTTATTTGTCCCTTGGAAACCTTTTCTCTGCTACTGACAACAGCTTTTTTTTTTTTTTTTTTGCCTTTGTTCACTTTGCTAATTTATGCTTCTCACACTAACTCCATGATTGTTTGTTTTTTGTTTTCTCCTTTGGTTTGCTCCTCATCCTCATCAGTTACTAAGAGACGCAAGGCCCATCTGAAGAGGCTGGACCGCCGCTGGACCCTCGGGGGTATAGTCAACCGTCAGCAGAGCAGAGGTGAACATAGAGACAACAGGCACACAAACACACAGTCGCACACACACACAGAATACATAGTTAGGGTAAATGTACACATAACTCACATGAGTGAGTCTGTTTGTTCTATTTCCATGAACCCAACAGCACAGAGTACAGTCAGAGACTTTGGTGTTTTGGTGGGCAGCCATGCCTGACACATCTCCACAGCACTTGGTAATGGGGTGTGATCAGAAAGAATACATGATCATACATTAAAGGTTGCCGTGTCAGAGGACGTGACGGTCATGGCCAATCACATTCAATACTTTCATCCCCTTTGAACAGAGGACTCTTCATGACGCACTGACAGTTTGGGAAACCTGTGGAGAGTTTTCCTCACAGGAAACTTTTTGTCTGAGTTTCAAATATGAATACAGCAGCTCAAATATACTGACAGGAGCGGATGACGTCTCTTTTAAGTTGAATTCACTTTTGAACGTTCTCTGGACGTGTTGAAAATCTCGTGATCATGTGTTCCCTACATAGTGTGCCATTTTATTTGACATACAATGATCTATCACCTTCAGTCGTTAAAGGCCACATTAGTGTCATATGTACAGTGAGAGTAGAATTAAAATGCAGTCTAGTTTATGGTGTATTTCTTTATTTCTGAAATTATTTTGAGGTTTAATTCAGTCTATATTATATAAATAAATTTGGATTTTGAAATAACAGTTTTGCTTTTGGAAACATGTGTTCATATATTCTAAACATAAATTAGGTGTTACTTTGGGTTTTTATTAATTAGGCATGAGATGGATGTTGATTTGTAGTAGATTCATTCCTTATATCGACAAGTTTGATGTACACACGAGCAAAGAGGTTTCCGTGGTAACTTTGCAGCAGTCTGGTACTGAGCCCTGTACTACGGAGCAGGACTTGGTGTTAGCGAGATAACTTCAGGTTTAACTCTGGGTTTTCAGTCCTACGACGAGGATTAGCTTCTTACTGAGGTAAATCACCATGGGTTATATTGAGCTCATAACCAGCTCTGGAGCAAGTTAACCTCAGAGGATCAAAACCTGTCAACAGCCAAACTATTGACCAATCAGATCCCTGGAAAACTGAGTCATCATTCCTACAGGATCCTGACTGGGACAAAAGAGTTTACAATAAAATGACAAATAATAACAAACAATAGATATTTTTAGAGATCAGACGAATCATTTTGCTGTTTGAGTCTTTCCATGTGTCCGCTCTGGTTTTAAAACAGAACTTCAAAGAAACAGGGGGAGAGTTAATCACACTAAATAATTACATAATAACTATTATAGCTTTATTTTAATTGAACAAAGATCCTTTAATCCTGACAGGATTCCTGACAGCGTTAATACTTCTACACTCTTATTTCATCACTGCAGCGCAGAATAACATGAGGAGATAATCGGAAATAAAAACTAAACCCTTTGATGTGCATTTATTAGAAAAAATGATACAGTACTTTCCATGATTATAAATGAATATTTCAGTTTCACCACATCAGTCATCAACTACTTTTCTTCTCTCCTCTTTGCTTTGGCAGCAGAAACAGTCTGACATTGTTTTAACAGTCTTTTCTGCACCACATGTTCATAATAGATTGTTCACCATCAGACAAAAAAGCAAAAATACTCACTCTAAAAAACTTCATAATAATGTCTGTACTTATTTACAGTATATCCTCAGTCTGACCTTAATAACTGGAAATGATTTCTAGTGTTTCTTTTCTATTCTAGTTTATTTACATTTCATCTTGTTGAATATCACTTTTGGATGTGGGTGTAACCGAGCTCACCTGCAGGTATCAGCGTTTCCTCTCATATCACATTAAGTACTTTATTCATGGGTCTGACGATGTTGTTTATACTGAACAACTCTACTCCAGGAAAACCCAGAGTTCTCTGAGCCAGTTGATAACCAGCTTCGTGGTACAGGTCATCAAGGACGGCCCATGTTACGCTCAATGAAAAGATATACTGGATATGTTGAACTTGCTTCATAGTCCAGGCGTCTGGTTGCACAAAATTCAACCAGCAGATCTGCTGTGCATAATTGTGGCTTGACAATCCACAACTTCACTCTCCCATTAGAGACTGTGGATGCAAGAGATGCACACTGCCTTCAGATGGCTGTAAAGACCGTAATAGAAAATAATAGAGGCAGCTGTTTTGACATGTGCTGTTTGGCGGCGGTGTATTTTGATTATTTTGATTGTATTTTGATTATAAAGCGGGTCTAGCTTCTAATACTGTGAAAGTATCAAAGCGCTCAGTCCTCAGAGAAATGCACACAGCCTGTATTCAGAAACTGAGCCTTAAAACCAGTCGTCAGGACTTCTGTAATTTTGTGATGTCACAACAAAGCAATCACCGCTCTCAGCCATGTCCCAAGCCCCGCCCACCTGGACCCATCATTCAACTTTGCACGATTTGGTCTCTTAGAGTGTTTACCCGAAATCTGCTGTATTTTAATTGGATCTCTCAGAAAACAGTTAATGTTGGTGAGCCAATCAGAAGAGAGGCTCAGAGCCTCCTCTCTTCTGATTGGCTCACCGACCTGTTGTTACTAGAGCTCCAGAGAGAAGCCTGAGAGAGGAGATGTAACACTACATTGAGATGGTTTTTGGTTCTTAAAACCACAAATATATCTTCTTATGGATCAACACTTCAAATAAAACACCAGAGAAGAGGAAAATATGGGACATTCAAGTGATCGAATGTGGATAATAATTGTCTTTGAAGAAATCATTGAAATGAAAAGAGAGACAATAATGTCAGTGTCTAAAACTCATTCGCCCACACATACCATTCACTCCTTCCCCATAGTCTGTAACAAAAAAACATACAGTGCCAAGCCCCTCCTGTGGCCCCACTCTCCTCTACTTTCACGTATTTTGCAGCCACATGGTAAACAATCTCATTTATATAGTCAGCCAACAACAGCTGGCCCTGACTATCTACCAGGAGCAGCATATTGGGTGGCCATGAGTCAGCTCTGACAGTAAAATCTCAAATCTCACTCCATCAAACTTGGAGGCTCTTCAGCTCACACTGAGCAACAAAATAATTGGACTGCATTAAATAGATTTGGATAATTAAGGCTATTCGGCTCCCACAGCACAAATGCAACAACCTTGACGGCCACTGAGCCCCGTGAACATAAATGATTGCATAACAGTGTTGCTGCTTAATTAAAGCAAGCTCCCTTAGGTTAAAAATGCCGTTAATGACTTTTGCATTTTGCCTTCAGTTCTTTAGAAAATAAGAGAAGCACGAAAATGTTCTTTCATGCTTTTAATTTTTGTATTTGCTTAGTTACTTGTGGTTTTGTTGAGTCACTATTGATTTAATGCTGAGTGAGAGACGTGAGTCTATGTCTGCAAAAACAGTCACTTCTCTCGGGGGGCAAGTCGGCGCTTTCTAATCCAGATTTCTCTCAGACTGTCTGTTAGGCACCTGTCTGGGTCCAGGATTAGTCAGGGCTTTGAACAGACACCTTGTAGTTATACTTTGTTTATAGAAGCTTTTCCTGGACCTGTGCAACCTCTAAATGCTCCAACAACAATTTTGGTTTCTCATTATCATAATATAGCCTGACTGTGGCCCGGCTCGTGTTATCGCCTCCTTCCAGGTGCTGGCCGTTCGGGCAGCAGAGCATAGATTAGAGATTAATCAGAGGAGATGGAGCAGGGTAAACTCACCTGGAATGGTATGTGCTTCTACTCCAGAGAGCATATAGTGACTCGTTCAGTACAGGACAGAAATACATTGTTAGAAAAACAACTTGGGCCCCTGCACCCTTTAAAAACTCTGCCATAAAATAAATATTCTTACAGACTCAACAGCTCGGGCAGTTGATGAAGGGTTAGTTACTCATTGACTTCCCCCACACAGTTGATTTAGGGATTCAAACCAGCAACATTTTACTCACAGGTTCAAATGACTAAGGCTTACCATTTACAGTATGCCGTCATTCATGGACTGGAATCAAAGCATATGAAGCATACAGTATATCAGGTCAGGGGAACAGTGTTAGCCAGGTCTCCTGGAGTGTTACCTAAGCAGACATGTCTCCCAGCACAGTGAGACTTGGCCCAGAGGAGCCGGTGGAAAGTGTGAAAGTGGGGCAGCAGCCCAATCTGCTGACTGTATTTAATCACACGGACCTCAACCTCTATAGAGCGTAGATGAGTCACCCGACTGGCTGTCACCAGCAGAGAATGAGGGCATGAAACACTTTTGGAGGCCATGTTGGACACCCTAGATTTTACATTCCTAGAGTAGAGGCTCATATGTTTGTGTTGCTTTATTTAAACATGCCTAACTTTTTTGATTTGTATACTGTGATGGCTCCTTGATTTTAAGCCACATTTCTTTACACATGAACTTACGCTTTCACTTGATTAATTGTATTTTAGATCAATTCTGACACACCATTTCACGATCAAATAAAACCTATGCAAATATTTCAATCACAAATGACGTGGAAGATTCAAGCAGAATAAGAAGGAAACTGTAAGGACTACAACAACAACCACAGACAAAAAATAAACAACAGATAAGGATGAGGACAAGGGGGAAAGAGCCAACGTGACTGTGATGCGTAGAGTTTACAGCACTGCTGATGCTTGTGACTATTGCTGATACTATTTCCATGTGTTGAATTGAAATTTTAATGATTTATCACTATCAGGCCTTTTTACTCTCACAATTCTGAATGTCACACCACATGACATAGTGTCGCACCATAGGATGAACCATACCACACCACAATTTGTCAATGCAAAAAGTGTGTCTGTATAGCACCTTGGTATCTGACACAGGACCAGTGAAGTGTTAAAAAGGACAAAACGCAGGTTAAACCTAGGTTTAGGTTATCAAACGCAAGAAGAAATTGTCAGCTCAGGATCATATGAAGTGACAAGTGACAAGCAAAGCCACTGAGCAGAACCTGTCACACAGTGTGAAGTAGTGTCACACCATATGAGCTTTCATGCACTTAGCACAACACTGGCCCTTGTGTTTATACACTAGCATCCTAACTAACAGCATAACATTGCATACCCACTGCAACATGGCAACATACAGTAGATTTAAAAGTAATAATGTAATTTACCTCTGGCACATTAATGTAAAATGCCTCACACTGAGAGAAGGAACTGTAGTGGGAACGCCAAAAAGATTCAATTTATTGAAAAAATGACAAGAGACAGCTCATCTTGTAACCCTGCCATGTCTTTTCTGAGATGTTTTCTGTACTTCCTGATTGAACAAGGATCCCTCCTCCCCAAGGGTCTCAAGACAATAGCCCGTTTAAATATCACAATATAGTATCACACCAAATCTTTTTTTGAGCAGAGCTGACACATGAAGCTGAAAATATTATGTCTGGACTCTGAAAAGCGCAGACTCACGATTAGACATCTGTTATTATTCTGTACTGTTATTAAGGAGGGCTGCATTTTTTTTTTCTTTGTGAATAATGCTCGGGACAGTCATATGAGCTTTTTCATGTTTGGTTGAAAATTGAACTGCACGAATGTTCATTATATTCACATAAAGCAGCAATAGTTTTCTGATAAATTGACGATATGAAATTAGGTTTTGTGGATCTTTTGTTTATCAGTTCATGTTGTTGCCTTTTCACCCTCCATTAAGTGTAATTGTTCTTTTTGTACCCTTTTGTACAGTTGTGGTTACAGACTCTCTCTCCAAGTCCCCACACTTTTATCTGAGTCTTATTCATTTGCCCAAAAATAGAGACAAAACACACTATAGACAAATTTAAAGATTAATTTGACTGATAGCATTTTTATTTATTTATTGTATAGAGATCACACTAATATCAATATCGTGAATTCTTTTGGCCATAATTAGCGTGAAGTGAAGATCTGATACTGTGACAGCCCTGGTATAGGCAGTATTCTTTTGACAGCCTGAGAAGCATGTCCACTTCATAGGCAAGGCAAGGCAAATTTATTTGTATAGCACATTATCATACACAGAAGTCATTCAATGTGCTTAACAGAAATAAACGTAGCATAGAAATAGAAGTGGAAAGCACACAATAAGAAAACAGTATGAATCTCTGTTTTTATAAAAAAAAAACAAAAAAAAAACACAGATTATAGAATAGAAAATATCTCATCAAAGTGCAAGATTAAAATCTTGATGAAGGCAGAGGAGAATAGAGCAGTTTTTAGCTTCTTATTAAAGCCAGTTACAGTTTGGGCAGATTTGATCTCCTCTGGGAGCTGGTTCCAGCCGTGGGCAGCATAATGGCTGAAAGTTTAGTTTTAACTCTATGGGCAGCACTAACTGACCAGCCCCTGCAGGTCTTAGAGACCGATTGGGCTCAGAGAGTGATTGACTTGGTGTGTGAGGTGAGCAAGAAACATCTGGGTTGGACCTCCCTTTTTTTAATTCATCATGGAACTACTTCTGTCATTTTTCATTTGTACAACCAAGTGAAACGCCACATGTGCGGCAATGTTTGCCAGTATCCACATTTTTACCCCTCTCTATGATGCCTTTAGATATGCCCTGTCATCAAGTGTGACCATTCAGAGCAGATACAAACACTTACACACCTTTAGACGTGTTTAAACAACACTTTGTACAAAGTAGTTCTAAGCATACCTTACCGTTACAGCTCACTATGAACTGACTTGATATGGGTTTCATGCTTTATAACCTCAAAGCTGTGTCATGGAGATGCACCCTGTGTCAAAATCAAAGGCCTTGTGCTCGTATGTTGAATATTACCACACACACACCACTCTTGGGGCCAGGTTGTATCTCAGCTGTTCAAATTACACAGATAGAGGGAGGATGAGGGAAGTTAATGGGAGGCCAGCAGCTTATTTTTGCCCCACGGCTCATTACCGAGTTGAACCCACTTTCTTGCCAAGTAACAATGTCTCCTCTGTTATCATTTCTTGCATGCATATTTGAATGTCACTGCTTACCTTCTAGGCATTTGCAGGACATGGCCAAATTACAATGTTCACAGTTAATCACTATGCCTGTTAGCATGACTTAGAAATTGCTAACGTCCTCACAGGTAACCAGAATTGCAAAATACAATACAACACACACTGCACACTCACAGTTTGATGCACTTCCCACTTTCAGCACATGTTTTTCATTGAAAGTCATGTGATCAGAAATCAGAGGCAGCTGTACTGTAAATGAAATACAGCCCTTGGTATCCAGATTTGTTCACCAATGGCATTTGTGTCTCAGCCGGTCCAAAAACATGGAGATTGATCAGATCAACAACTGCAGTTATTTGTATTTGTGTAGAGGGCACTGCTGTGTGACATATTCAGTAGGGCCAACTTGGTTTTAGCTTGGTTAGGGATTTTGAGATGCCGCTGGGTACCTCTGTGATTTATTGGTTTAAGGACACATATCGATAAAGCCACACGTAAGGTTAGAGAGGACAGAAGAGTTTCCCATGGCAGGGAGTTTTACTGGCTACGTTGCAAACAAGCTTAAGAGCTCCGGGACGAGAAAGCTCTTTTTCCACCATCGAAAATAGTCTCACCACCAAAACTGCAGCTGCTGCTGCTGACTGGAGTCGTGTCAAACTTCTTGTCTGTGGATTTTTCCAACTTTTCATTCACCACCACTCTTTGCTTTGTGTCCGTATTACTGTCTGTTGCACACTTACTGTACGCTGTTGGCCTGACTTTGCCTTAACTTGGTTCAGCTGTGCTTCCTCCAGTATGTGCAGGTAGTGGCTTGTGCCTGTGGTGAATTGCTTGGTGCACCAGAGTGCCAGAAAGTTAAGACAAGCACTGGTCTGATTCAGTGTATGTTGTTCTTGAAAGTTCCAGCAATGTTAAGAAAATAATAATTACTTGCAGCTATTTGACCGACACCGAATTTCAGTCTTTCCACCTTTCTCCTCTCCTTATCCTGCACACTGTCTTTGCTTTGTGAACAGAGGCGCCACTGTCCCTGCCTGATAATGCATTGCTGAGCAGGCAGTAAGAAATGGGTGAGTGAGGTTTTACAGCTCCGCACAGACACTTTGAGATACAGCTTGATTTAGTAGCACTGGCAAAGGACAAAAACGCAGATCACTTAGGACTTATGTTCTCGGAGGATGCAATTTGCTAATGGAAGAAAGCCGCCGTATTCTATGCATCCTGTTTGCTGACAGATTTCTTCGCCTTTTAGGTGCCGCTTCATGAAGACGACAAGGACATGATCCCAATATCTAGACAATAAAACAAGGGCACATTTGGAGCTCAAATTAAATTACTCAACTTTTCCTCTTGCTGCTCTGACACAAAGCCAGGTCAGGGTGTCTCGACCTCTCTGGAAGTGGAGATTGGCTACTGACAACAGTGTGACCTCATCGTGTTCTCGGCAGGGGTGGTGTCTCGGGCTCCGAGGTTCAATAGGAACCATCCCTCCCCTCCCACCCTGCTGAGGGCATGTGTGCTTTCACGGAGCGCTATCATTTACAGCAGGTCCCTAATCTGATTTATAGAGTCCCGCTGACTGCACACTCAACTCACTGTTCTGTCCCCGCAGTGTGACGCTGGCGCCGACACACACAGACAGAGATGGACCCTGAGGCACGTGTACAGCCCACGAAAGACTCGCTCGCACAGATGTGATTAATGGATGTGGTTAATTTAATCTTTCTTTTTTTTTTCATTCGGCTCCGCGGGGAATTTAAAGCAACAACATGATAATGTACAACAAGCGCACACAGTTAGGTAGATGTTCCAGATTCCTTTGTAAGCCATCCTATTTGTTATTCCCTGTCCATCTGCAAGTACTCACCCCAACCTCAACACACACACACACACACACACACACACACACACACACTTCAACACACAACATGCTTAGCGAGCCCAGGTTCAATGCCAGACATCCCACTCTGCTCCACATTACTGACCTCAGCTGCTCTGAGATGACGGGCAGAAGGGGAACTTCAATCCCCGCCGTCTGGACATACCCCACCTATTGAAAGCATGCATCCACATGAATAAACACATGCACGCATACCTCTGAGATATCATTCCTGCCTTTCACATTGCCTTTAACAATCTTATTCCCCTCAGCCATCTAAGGTCACATTCTCTCTTCTCTAACTCAGGTCCCATTTATTCTATATATCTTTAAATCTCATCCTATAACAGTTTCTTCCTCCCTTCTGTCACATTTTCTGCCACAAAAGTCATGTAGATGATTTTTCCTCTACTGCACACCAAACCAATTCATTATCCAATGAAATAAGCCAATGTACTGTCCACTGATCATCTCCTCCGCTGCTGGAAAGCCTGGGTCTGATCCAATGACCAATCTTTCGTCCCCTTCTCTGCTGTCTTCTTTTGCCTTGGTGTCTGTTAATCCCCTAACCTCCTGCTCCCGACTAAGCCCATTGTAGGATTTCCTTTCCCTACAGGGTCTTGGAAGCCTAGCAGAGCGTGAGAGAGGAGTGGCGGTCAGATAGGGATCTGAGAGGGGAGATCTCGGTCCAAATATCTTATCTCCTCGAGGGAGGCCCTGATGTAGGCCTGCTGTTAGAAGAGGAATCTCCCTCTGGAGAGACAAATGCTGCATCAGGGTCCAAACAGCTTGAATGAGGCCTTGCATGGATAAAAAAAACAAGCAGCGAAGGGGGAGAGGTTGAGAAGGAGCTGTTTGATATTATTGTGTAGGACAAGGAGGAGGGGGTTGTGTTTGTGTTGGTATGGAAATAGTATTTTAAGTAGGTCACACTTCCATGAGGCTTTCTGGGACAATACAAACTATGCAACGGGTTAACCTAACAATCTGAGACTATTTGATGACAAATTTTCACTCACTTTGTCTTCTTCTTCTCCTTCCTTTACCCCTCTTGATCTCCAGAAGAGAAATATGTGACGATACAGCCGTACACCAGTCAGGGGAAGGATGAAGTCAGCTTCGAGAAAGGGGTCACCGTGGAGGTCATCCAAAAGAACCTGGAGGGCTGGTGGTACATCAGGTGAGTAGACGCCGATGAATAAACAGGTGCATTAGGTGACAGAAACCACCATGAGCATCAACCCCCGAGTCCACATGGCCACTGAATGAGAAAAAATGGAATCCGTCTAATTTCATCCAATTTCAAAGTGAGCGAGTCCTCAGAGAGCGCTGACATTGTTCGTAGGAGTCATTGCTTAGTGCTGTGATTAAGCCAGCGGTTTCCTGCAGCTCTCATTTGCTTAATAGTATTGAGAAGAAACCATTAACATATGGCGCGCTCCACAGATCAGCTGCCTGGCACTACTGATGTGTATGTGTGCGACTCTATGTGTGTTTGCACATGTGTGTGTTGTTTACCCAGCCAGTGTGTATTTCCTGTCAGTTGTTTGTTTCCTTGTATCCCTGGGAGCATAAGAGTGGAGCTCCACTGCACAGCTGATTGCTATCACATGCTGCCTCGTGGCATCTCACATACACACGCAAATACACATTAAGAGCGTGCACTCTTATGTATTTGAGTACATACATACATACATACATACATAGACAAGAGTACTTCGGAGTTCCTGTTAGAGGTGTTATGCCGGTGTGATAATTGAGGTATGCTGCCAATATTTATACACAAAGAGCTTGTTCACTCTCCAGCCCCTTTACTGCAATGTACAACCAATCATTTCGGAGCATGTTGCCCAACAAGAACTAATCCTCCAGATGTACTTCTGAGTCATGCTGCTTTCAATGGACTTTTTTTGTTAAGTGAAGTCCAAGCATGGGGCATTTTTAGTTATGGGGACTCCTTGTGGTCGCAGTTGGAGCCCTGGAGTTATCACATCTCTTTTGAACAGAAAATGGATCACCTAGAGGCAAATGACTCAGAGTTGCATTTGGAACATTACTTATTGTTTCACAAAGCACTCTAAAATGACTCATTTAGCATAACAATGAATGTTGAAATGTGGGGAGGCAGTGTCTCTTTGCATATATTATGCAGTGTGTTTACTTGCCTCTGGCTACCTCTACTTCACTAGAATTTGAATAGCAGTTTTTTTTTCCAAACACGGGATCTTACTGGGTTTATTTTATTATAGACTTTCATGCAAAAGAATGAACACATTTTTGGTTGTCTGTTTGTTTGAGATATAGATTATGGTTCCACCAAATTCAGGGGTGTACTCTTAAAGGGGTATTCCAGATTCCACTTGAGGGACTCACAAAAGACAGATTAAAAATCAGAATGGTGAAAGTCATGCAACAAAGGGCAAGATATCCTGATTTCTAGCATTTGACTACATTTCCCTTAACGCAACCTATAGCATCATTTGGTTTGATTTGGTTTTAAAATGCCCATGCCAGCTTTCAAACTACATGCATCCAGATTATAATTTCGGTTTTCTAAAACTCAAACCTAAAATAACCCCAATGGCGTATTCAGGAGGCACAAACTGACTATATCCTCATCCACTGGTCAAAAAACCCCCTAAGACTCGCTAACATCTGGCTTTTGTCAGCAATGGAAAAGGGTACAATCAGCATACACAACTGGGTCAAATCTGGTTTGGGCTCCGGCTCCGGCTCTGATCAGCAGTGATGTAAACACAACACCCGAGTGAACATGCTAATTTCCACCCCTTTCCATGCTGTGACGTCTTTCAGAGCACACACACACTTTAAACACACCTGTCCAGGACAGTGCTGTTAAACCAGAAGCACTGTAGCTTCACTGTGCTCGGGGATGGAAGAGTGAGCTGCAGCTCTGAAATAAGTTTTAAAAACACACAATCACAGACCAAAATGTTTGACACAGAGGCTCCAACACTGACAGTAGCACCAACCCAGGGATGAGACCCTACAGATCCATTTTACCAGTCTGGACAGCAGCTAGCTGCTCACGCTTCCTCCATCGTTTGTGTGTGCGCTCTGGAACTGAACGTGATGACACTGCTCTCTGCGCTTGTGTGTTTGTGTGTGTGTGTGTGTGTGTGTCCTCTCAGGCCAACTCGTCAGGCAGTGTAAAAGCGGATTTAAATAGTATAAACAGGGAAGAATTCAGCAAATTACAATATTAATCCTTCCTCCTTTATGCCTTCCAGATATTTAGGAAAAGAGGGCTGGGCCCCTGCCTCATACTTGAAAAAGGTGAAAGAGGATTTTTCCCCCCGCAAGAAGACCCTGACAGGCCCTGTGGAGATCATCGGCAACATCATGGAAATCAGCAACCTACTGCAAAAGAAGTCAGTCAGCGAGAAGGACATTCAGACAGACGGAGAGGGTAGCACCACACCGGAGCGCCACATCTCTAAGAGCGAGATCAGCCTGCCCATGCCCTACAGCTCTGAAATCAACGCTGAGACAGGCAGGAGGCTGAGCGCAGGACGTGACACCAACAGCCCATGTCTAGGAATAGCAGCAAGTGCTGCACTAAATGAGAATAAAGGAAGAGGCGAGCCCGGGTCCCCAGCTGTTGCTAGAGTGGCACCACATAGAGTGGAAATTGGTGAGTATTTGTGGTGTGTTAGGAGACAATGGAGCTTTTCGTACGGCTGAATAAAGCAGTAAATGCACTGTAGCTAAGGGGATGAGGATTTTTATGAGGCATTAAGAGTTGTTATTTCCCATTTGTGTAGGCTTCGATGCTGTAGGTAAGCTACATTGCTGGTGTATCTAATGGTTGTGGTGGTGGTGATGTAATAACATAAACTTGTCACACTAACCCGTGATGCCATTTAACATGGGATTTCAAAACGTTTGGTGTGTGGATTTCCTTTTCACTCACATAATAAGAATGTACGACTTGTTTGCGTTTCCGAGCATAGTCTTTAAAGGATGAGTACATTGCATAACGATTTCATTTTGTTTATCAGGGTCTCCAAATCTGAGACAAAAACCTCCCCCAAGGAGAGACACCAACTTGGTAAGACATTTAATAAGCTACTTCTTCCTAAAAATACCCATGAGGGCATTCTTTAATATTATTTTATTTTCAACAGAAACCTCTAAGCATCACAGAAGTACCCATGATCATTGTGCATTAACAAGCACTGGTTCTAGATGGAAAAGTTTTTCAAAGCAAGTATAAATACAGTAAATAACAACAAAATAAAAAAGAAAGTTTAATAATTAGCTCCCAGGTTACTGCAACAGTTAGTATAGCAACCATTAAAGGACAAAACAACACGGTTACAAGTACAAATTCAGCTTGTCTTTGATCATCTGATTCTCATACTGTTCATACTTATATATTCAACACAATATGTTATTATTATCATGTGCAGTCATAACTCATATCTTGAAATAATTGATTGTCATCCTTATTGTGTATGTGTCTTTGTATCTTTAGTTAGACTGATTCTAAAGATACAATATAATGATGTCTAAATATGATGTCAGCTGTTCATACCCCCCCTTTCTGTACAGGGATTCCAGTTACCTAAGCCACCAGAGCCCCCTGCTGTGGAAGCAGAGTATTACACTATAGCAGATTTCCAGTCCTCAATCTCTGATGGCATCAGTTTCCGTGGAGGACAAAAGGCTGATGTAAGAGGCCAGATCTACATTGTTGTCAGTGAGATGAGACAGTCAGGCCTCATTGAATATGTATGTCTACTGAGTGCTCCCCTGATAGACAGGAAAGCTGAGGCAATAGAGATACGACCTTGAGATTTGTGTTTGAACATGATGATGTAGACAGTATTCACTCTGCAGAGACTCAGGTGAAGATAACAACATAGATTTCTTCATTGTATTTTTTTGTCAAGTTATGTTGAGCTGTCACTTCTAGACAATGTGTTATCCCTTGCCATTCATTCATTCTTGTGAAAGAAGTCTTTAATGTAATATAATAGTCAGTGTTCATTTTGTGATATAGTGCTGTAAGCCAGGTTTCCAGTTCATTCAGCTTCATCTAATTATCTAACCCATAATGGTAACCCCTTGCACTTGTCCTGGTCCTAACCCTAACCCATTTCACTGTTTAGTGAGTTTTTCAAGAAAATATTCTTTAAAAAGCTTTATTTCCCTTGTTGTGCAGGTGATAGAAAAGAACCCTGGAGGCTGGTGGTACGTGCAGATTGGAGAGATGGAGGGATGGGCCCCCTGCTCCTACATCGACAAACGCAAGAAACCCAACCTCAGCCGTCGAACCAGCACCCTGACCCGGCCCAAAGTCCCACCGCCAGCTCCGCCTGTCAAAAAACAAGACTCTGAGGAGGCTCCCCCTCCCTCTAACTCTGCCTCCAAAGCCTCAGAGCCACCTAAAAGGCCTGTGTACGAGGAACCTGAATATGATATTCCTGCAATCGGATGCGAAGGTGAGTCTGACACAGATTCTTTGAAGGATGACCGCTCCCTTGATGTGAAGATCAGCAGCGTGGTCAGCGACAAGTACCGCAGTTCCCCTCCTTCCTGCAAGGCCTCCCCTCCTGTCTGTAAGGCGTCTCCTGTGTTCACTCATAGAAGAGCCTCCTTCAGGTCTGTAGAGGAGGTTGCTAAAGAAGAGTGTATTTATGAGAACGATGGCTTCAGGCCGAGCAGTGGCGTTGAAGGAACCTCAGCGAAAGGTTCCAGTGAGCCCAACTCCCCAAAGAGTTACCACTCCTCCACAGTCCCACGAAAACCCTCTGGATCCTCACCTTTAGCCGGAAGGCCCATGAAGACCATGACACCGGAGATGAATCGTAGAAGTCAAACCCTGGGCAGACACATAGATATCAGCCTCAGGTCCCAGGACAACAGTCCCCTCTCTTCATCAGATGAATTGAGCAGAGGGCCCAAGAAAGGCACTGCCTTCACCCGGGATGTGGAGCAGAGAATAGGTCAAAGCCCATCCACCAGGCCCAAGCCTTCTGTCAGACCTAAACCACTCCTGACTAAATCAGAGCCCCAGAGTCCTGAGAGAATGGACATCAGTTCTTTGAGACGGCAGCTGAGGCCTACAAGTCAGTTTCGACATAGCATCAAAGCTTCTCGTGGGGACGACTCTGAAACAGCTTCTGTAATCTCTTCAGAGGACTCAATGTGTTCACGCAGCACCTCAGATCTCTCCTCTGTTTACTCTAAAGGTAGCCGTGGTGACTCAGATGTGGAAGGACCCAGTCTCTACCGCTCCCTGGATGCCTACAAGAAGGTCCAGGACTCTGAGCTCAGCTTCCCAGCCGGAGTGGAAGTCGAGGTTCTGGAGAAGCAGGGGAGTGGATGGTGGTACATCCGTTGGGGCTCAGAGGAGGGCTGGGCTCCTTCGTACTACCTGGAACCTGTCAGACAAGTGGGTGATGCTGGTGGGTTAGACTCAGATGGACATGGGAGTGGCGGGAGTAAGTCCAACAGCCTTGAGAAAAACGAGCAGCATGTTTTGGCCCTCAATAATATCAACATTCAGGGTCTGACTCAGCAGCATCAAGGTCTGAGAAGGAACACCCCACCGATTCCTTCTAAGCCCCCCGGTGGCTTTTCAAAGCCATCCGGGATGGTTAACGGAGGCGTACGGATGAGGAATGGAGTACGCCAAGTGGCAGTGAGGCCTCAGTCTGTATTTGTGACCACAACACAACCGGCAAAGGATTCGCACTACATGACAGGGTCTCTAAGGCGAAATGACTCACTTGGTAGGAGTGATCACTACGGTTCTGGTTCTGCCACTCTTGGTGTCCGCCGAAATGCCTCCTTCAGCACCGTGCGGCCACATGTAGTTGTCGAAAGTCAGACAAGGCCTGCCGAACGCTCCAGCCTTGGGTCCTCAGGGAGCGCATTCAGCACAAGCAACGTCCAGGACACCCTTAGCAGGGTTAACCAACGCAATGGCATCCCGGTGTCCACAGTCCGGCCCAAGCCCATAGAGAAGAGCCAACTGATCCACAGCAACCTTGGCAGGGATGTGTACGTGTCCATCGCTGACTATCGCGGTGATGAGGAGACTATGGGTTTCACCGAAGGCACCTGTTTGGAGGTGTTGGAGAGAAACCCAAATGGATGGTGGTACTGCCAGGTGCAGGACAGCCTGCTTCCCCGCAAGGGCTGGGTCCCCTCCAACTACCTAGAACGGAAAAAGTAGAGCCAACCCCATGTCCTTCCCACACCCTTCATCCCGCCTCCTTCTTTTGATGTCTCCAAGGATGTGGGTGGCATCACTCCTCAAGAATGTTAACCGCAATCTCCTGTAAGCAATATGCCCTTGAAAATGTACATTTATGAAAAGACTGTGTGTAAAAAGAAAGATGTTTTAATCTGATGAGGAAGGACACTTTTAGTGCTGGTTTACTAAAATGTATACGAAGAGGAGTGTAAAGATTTTAGATATTTTGGCTGGATGAGAGACAAAAATATGGGATTGGTCACCCTTGAGTGAGGAAATTTGAGGAGGTGTGTCTTTGAGATATAAATTGGTGTGAATGGGAGTGATAACCTCTTAAAGAGGTTTGCATCATGTAATACAGAAGTTGAGCAGGGTAATGGCTATGCTTATTCCTGCCCATCACTTACTATGATGGCCAATAAGTGCCTTTTGTATTTGATCACCTAAATGGAGGTCCTAAATGGTGGATGGCAAAACATTAAATCAACCAAATCTCTTAAGAGTGCCATAGGCCTATGAACACCACCAAGAATATTTCCATGACCAATTAAGAGCTACACTACAGAGTGCAAACAGAGTGCAACGTTTCAGTCTAGAGTGCTCTAATTGGTCCAATACACAGATTAAAGAAAGAAAAAAACAGAGATTTAAGGAACTCAATTCACCAGAGAATTTATTCATTTTAAGCCACAAGTCATCAAGCAAACTAAACACTAAGTCTCATTATCAGTATTTTTACTTAGTTTCATTGTTGTTGTTCATGTTATAATGTCTTGTGTTGATTCAAATCTTCCTTAGAGAATTATTTCTGCTTTCTTGTGACATCTGTTTTCCACCAACAGCCTAGAAATGGAAGTGTCAAAGCTCCTGCCTCATGTCGTGTACTATCTGACACCGGCAGTGGGTGCTCCAGTCTGATAGATTGGCATAGTTTTCTCATAGATCTTCAGCCCACAAAAATATGTTAATATTCATGTTTTTAATCCCAGATATTACTATCTGGGACAACAAATGTATAAAAAAAAAAACCTGTGAAACTTGAAAATAACAGTATAACAGTTTCCTGCAAAGTCAAAGGAACAACTTGTAATCTCCAGAACAAAACCACCTCATATCTGGGTAGCTAATACCCTCAAAAGATGAAAACAATTAGTTTACAATGATTTAGGTTTACTGTAGAGTTTTTAGCTCCAGGAACAATTGATTTTGTATATATTTTGTTTTGTATTCATATAATAATACCGCTGTTGTGGAGTTGTATTAAATAAATACTGGAAATGCGGTGAAATAATTGAATCCCAGGGACATATTTGCATAGCATTTGGCCCAAAATGTGATCAAACCAAAGAGAAATATCATTTCATTGGCTGTTTCTTTTTTACTTTACTATTTATTTATGGTACAGATAATTTAGTGTATTCATCAAATTGCAAAAAATCATGGTAAAACATGGTTTCTGAACTGTAAAATCAGTATTGATCAGTATTCCTATCAGTATTGATCCACTGAAACAAGTAAATTGTAATACTAGATATTGCTGTGCAGTATTGGTTTTGACATTAAATTGACAAAATCGTTTATTATCTTGTTTCAAAGTTAAGGTATTTTTTCACATCCAATAAATTTGTTGGGTTTCATATCACTTAATATAATATCATATAAATAAAACTGCAAACTCCAACTAAATCAAGTATATCAAGTTAGAAATAATTCTCCCCCAATGCAGGAGTTAAGTCTGAGAATTTGAAAACTTTAAAAACTTTAAAAATTCAAATGGCTGATGTTCAAGACTGCTGAAATACATTTTCTAACGAACAGTGTAAGCTGTCATCATTAGGCTGAACACTAACTTTTGATTATGTTTCTGCTGGACAGTATCATATTATTAAACAAAGTGCAGTACCTGCTAGATCGCAGTTATCTATTTTAGCAAAATCATATTTTTTTTTTGTTTGTTAATCTGTTAGTTTGTGATCACACGGTGACAATAATGAGGAATGAAGTGGTTCTGTTTTGTGAATTAGTGCACTTTAAAATTGTTTTTATGGTGCATTAATGTAAAGATGCAGTAAATCCTCAGCATATTATTTATTGAATACGTTTTTGTAATTATTTAATGTTGCTATTCTTTTTTTTCCTCACTTCAAATGAGAGGCTGAGACTCTTGAGATGAGTTCTCTGCATGACAGTGAACATTCAAAAGTCTCTTTGAGTAGAATTGGAGAAATAGCGGCCTCTTGTGGGAGGTCAAAGGTACTACAACGTGATTTTTATCCCATCCACAAAGCTTATTTATAGGCCATCCTACCTCAGTGCAATAAGAAATGCACTGCCGGTCAGTGAGTCTCCCCAAAAACTGTACAGAAATTACATTTTTCTCTTTTTTTTATCTCAGTGCAGCTAAAAAATATTTTTGTAGCACGTGCTTTGTATCAGGCAATAATTTATTTTTTTGAAGTTCCCTTTTTTTTCTCTATGCTGTGTGCTGCAACTTTCGCAAATCATGGGCACTTCCTTCATCTTTATTGTGCTTTACATAATGCCTGATTTTAAGTGTATTTATTATGAACAGTTTTCTATCTTATCACAGTTTGACAATCACCTTATCACCCCTTCAAAATATTACTGTATAGTTTTATACAGATTATTTTTGTTAAAAAAAATTGGACATCAGTCTCACTAATAATATGTAAAATTCAGACTCAGCAGTCAAGAAAAATTAGAAAATATCATCATTTAGTCGAGATTGTGAGGTATTTGCATTCATTTTAATATATGAAAATTAACGACCTATAAATATTAAAATAACGAATTAGGCCGTTGATATTTGCTGTGAGGCAAACAGCCCCCTCCTCATCTAGACGAAGGCATTATGTAAATGTGTTGAATCACTTTTAACATTTTGCTCCAGCACATATTATTATTGCATATCGCTTTGTTTGATTGAGCTGAATTTACTTGCAAGGGAATCGTTCTGTGTTGAACATATATTTAGCTGTGTAGCATCTATCTTTATTCTCGCTTGTACTTTTGTTTCTTATTTCCTCTGTCTGCCCCATTTTGTCAAATTCTGAAATGTACCTGCGAGGAAATGTGCAATAGATAAAAAAAAAAAATGCATCATGTTTCAACAAGAGGAAAAATATCACAGGTTTGGGAAAACATGAACAATGCCATTACATCTGTTGGGAGTAGATATTCCCTGTCAAACTGCCAGTCATGAGCTTTTACCATCTTTTAAAGTCAAATTTAAGTCTGTCCAAAAGAGCAGATGTGTAAAGCTCTAAAAGCATCAGAAAACTCATTGGACCAAAACGTCGTTATGTGACACCTCATTATCTCCTGACGTGATAGACTTTTATAATAACTAACATGAGAATCTCTGCTCCTCCTGCCTCGGAGCAGCAGTGGACAGCGACTTGTGAATGGCATGGCAGAAACCTACTGACCCATTCTGTATTGACATTACAGCCATCTGGGGTCTTCTCCACAGATAGAGAGTCGTGGGCCCATCATCAGAGGCCTCAGCGGCCCTGCTCTGAGCTGTCACGTTCGTGCCTGAATGGAATTTTGATAGTTTCTTGTTTTTGTGTCATAGTTTTCCTCTTCATTTTTTTTGTTTTGTTTTTCCCTCCGGAGTGTGCCCACTCTCTACCTACGTGGATGCCTCTCTTGACATTTACCCCACCCTTGTCAAACCAAGTCAGACTTTTCCTCACCAATCACCGCGCAAAGGTGACATTTGGAACCGACGAGAGAGTCTCAGTGGTAAACAAGAGACCGGGGAGATGAACACTCCTTCAGGCCATTTCAGTTCAATCCATCAACTTCCAGGATGTACGCCAAAAATAGAAAAACCTTTATTTTTCTCTTTGCTGAGCCCCTGCAGGCCTTATCGATGTGCTACAGATGAATACGTCATTGTGCTAAAGAGTTCCTGTGTGTACAGGCCAATAGTTCCCTGTCTTGTCATGGGGCTTGTATCCATAGATCCTTTGGTTTGGATAGTTTGTAGTTAAACTCCACCTTAAAAGAATAGTTCAGTATTCTGGGAAATGACTTTATTCGATTTTTTGCTGAGAATTAAACAGTTCAATGTTTGATGTGGAAAATATTTCTGAATATTTAATGAAGGAGATGGAGTAGATGTAAATTTTTAGAATTTTAAACCACTAAATTGAACATTTTTGTTGAGAAACCTATTTGGCACAAAGTATTAATGAAAGTATTTTCTTATGTCATGTCTGATCTTCTGGTAAATATGGAACTAATGCCCAGAGAAAGGTGGCTTACCTTAGCATTAAGAATAGAAGCAGGGGGAAACAGCTAGCCTGGTGCTGTCGAAGTCTAAAAGATCTGCCTAGCAACACATCTCTCTCAACAAAGCTCACTTATTAACAAGTTGTGGTTTGACAGGGAGTTGATGGAAAGACTCCAGACGTCACTGCATTTTGTTGAGAAATAGTCCCACAGATAACTCCCTGTCAAACCACAACATGTCATTTTAACAGGTTTTGTATAGATTAAACAAACACAATGTAATGTGTTCATTAGTGAACAGATTCTTTTACACTTTGGACAGAGCCAGGCTAGCTGTTTCCACCCCGTTAGCTTAGCATAAAGTTTATTCTAAACTTAGCTAAAAAATCTCCTGACCGTAGCTTCATATTTTCCATACTGACGTGAGTGTGGTATCAATCTTCTCAAGTAACTCTCGACAACAAAACGAATAAACACATTTCCCAGAATCATATATTATTTATAATAATATATTTCCTATTTCAGTCATGGCCTACTGTTTCAGCCTGTCTCAGCTACACTGCTGTTAAACCTGCGTGCGTGCATCCACACAGCAGAGTGGAAATGGAATTGGCAGAGGTATTATTTTTTGCACATGCCAACACACACTCACGATGATGAGGAACCGTTCATGCCAGAGGAAATATATGAGTTTCCCAATATATTCCCTGAGGTCAGCCGGATGAGACAGCTCCGCTACGCCGACACCCTGTGTTATTCCTCGCTCTCTTTTTATTTTTACAAATGGACAGCACCTCTCAGGCGTGAAGCACCTTAAGCTCTGTACTCCCAGACACTAGCTGCTGCCATAGCATTTTCCTCTTGGCTACTCTTCCTTTCTGCTCTCCGGTTCTTTCTCTCTGCCCCTCACCACATATATCCATCTCTCTCCTTCCTTGACACAGCCGAGCAGTCTATTCCCAGTGAAGTGACTGAGGTACCTAGGAGGGTTTGGGTGGGGTGGGGTGGGGTGGTGTGGGGTGGTGTGTGTGGGGGGGGGGCATGTTTGCATATGTGTGTGTTGGTGTGTTATTGCATGACGAGATGGACCGTTTGCAGGTGTGCTCAGGAGAAGTGAAGTTAGAGGTCATGGAGGAGATTTGCGAGAGCAGGATGCAGGGAGACAGAAGATGGATCAAATAGTAGATTCTAGGAGACGAGGTGAGAGCGAGGTGAGAGGAGCTCCGCGTTGATAGGAGGGAGATGAAAGACTAGTGGACGCTGCTTCCAATCTGAAACCTGAAAAATAATTCCCTCCAACAGGGAGCCCATTTTTATCAAACTTCTTTGCCGACCTTTGTAAAAAAAAAACCTTGTACCTAATGAGCTCTCAGCTTCTAAACCTTGGCTGTGAAACCTCATTTCTCCAAACAATGTTTTAATTGCAGCGCTTGAAGTTTTTGAAGCTGCTTCGCAAGAAACTGCAAGTCAATGAGAGACAAATGAGTTCACACTACATCAGCTTCTCTCGGCCTCGCTGTCCGTCCATAGAAAAAACTTTAGAACTGATCCTATGTCTGGTTTTAGCTTTTTTTTTTTTACTGTCAGTGTCTTCAGATCTTATGTAGCCCTGAGGATGTGAGAGTTGAGCTGGGTGTTGGAAAAAGTTTTTTGCAGTAAGATAAAAAAAAAAAATGGCTTCAAATGGTGGATTTTTTTTTGCCTTATTCCTTTGTGTTTTTGTTGAGAAAATAATTGAATGTTGTAAAAGTGCAACAAAGGATTTTAGATGTTTCTTCACATCTAATGAAACAAGGTTTAATTCATAATGGAAAGAAATAGAAAACAGTCAACAGCACCCAGCTTTAGAATGAAGTGATTGCTGAGTTAATAAAAGCAGTTGTTTGATAGAGGGAGGGGTAGGTTTGACAGGAAAGTTTTAGTAAGTGTGTGGGAGCTGGTGGGAGGTATTTAGGGGGATGATTTTGTAGGTTTTTTAATTATCTAGTTTTTGTTTGCGTGCAAGAGAAGAAAGAAAAGAACAAGCAAAGCTGCAGGGCTTTTCTCAAAGAGTTGGGGTAAAAAAAAAAAAAAAAAAAAAAAAACTAAAAAAAAAAAAACTCCA